AATTTTAATCCTCTACAGAGGGGATGGCACACCCGCTTGAGTAGGCAGACGACCTGCACGCGAAGTCGAGCACTTTACGGTAGAACAGTTTAACGTGAACCAATACAGCACACCCTCGATCCCTACGCAGACTGATCCAAGTGGTCAGTCACCCGCACATTGACCGCAGTCAGTGATGCTTGGCTTCGGTGATCTGTTGGGAACCGCGTCTTAACGATCAGTCCCACTGCGGGGTACTTGGTGATAATGTATAAAGAGCAAAGTGAGGAAATTTTGTTACTGGCCAGTGGGTAGTTGTAGCAATTTTAACAGTGACCACTTTTTCAAAAATTGAGAATTTTAAACATACACGAAAACTGCTGATATTAACAATGTTAGGTATTTCTTTGGAAGCAATGCAACGTTCATTTTTAAGAATAATAAAATATTTTAAAAAAGAACAAGCGTAAAAATAAAAATAAAAAATCAGGATAATATAAAATATTTATCAAAAATTGGCAATCGGTCAGCTATTAAAAATCAACTGTCAGTCGCCAAAGGCTGTATTTAGTCGCCTTGTGTCAGATGGTGACCATTAAAGTTTCCCTATAATAATATGGTGACATTTTCTTTTACATCGAATGGGACAAAAAGAATAGCGCAGTGTAACTGCCGTAATGGATTTATTCAGCCGACTACAACTGCAACTACAATTATACAAGTTTTATTTAACAACAGGGAAAAATCATCGAATAACTCGCCGCTAGAGGCGCTGTTAAACAAAATGTCGTTCATGCAGGAGAAAGCGTATTGCGTTTTCGAATATGCCAAAATCTCCTCGGTAACTGTTGTGCAAAGACATTTTCGCACGAAATTTCGTTAAGAACCTCTGCATCGGCATAACATAAGCAGGTGGGTGAAGCAGTTCCAGGATACCACCTTCTTATGCAAGAACAAAAGCCCAGGACGAAAAGAAACAAAACCCGAAGTGGTTGAAAGAATTCGTTTTTACGGAGTCCCTCAAAATCAACGCGACGTGCACAACTGGCTGTCCCTTACACAACGGTGTGGCGTGTTTTACGGAAGCGTCTCCAATTCAAGCCGTACAGATATCAGATGGTCCAGGCTTTAAAACCTACTGACAAACCGTTGCGTAAGAATTTCTGTGTGAAATTTCATGGAAAGCTCGACATGAATGGTTTCGAGAACACACTGGTGTTTACCGAAAGAAGGTCACGTTCCACTTAAGTGGCAAAGTTAATCGCCATAATTTGCGGGGCACGGAAAATGCCCATGTAACATTAGAACATCAGCATGATTCTCCCAAGGTGAAAGTTTTCTGCGCTTTATCAAACAGTTGTGTTTTTGGTCCATTTTTCTTTGCAGAAAAATCCATTAATGGGGACTTTTACCAAAACATGCTCTCTGAGTGGTTGCACCACTAGCTGTTCCTGATTTAATTTTGCAGCAAGATGGTGCTCCCCCACATTGAAATAACAACGTACTTTAGTTCCTGAACGAACGTCTACCCCATCGCTGGATTGGCCGTACTGGGCCACAGAATTTAACATGTCTTCATTGGCCGCAGAGATCACCAAATCTAACGCCCTGTGATTTTTTTCTCTGGGGTTTCGTTAAGGACAAGGTGTTTGTGCCTCCACTTCCTCACGGATAACTGCAGCAGCGGATAACTGCGGTGTTGAACTCCATCACAGGGGATATGCTATCACGAGTGTAGCAGGAACTTTATTACCGTGTAGACATTTGCCGTGTCACCGGAGGGGCACATATTGAACACCTGTAGAAACTTGAATAAATGTAGTTTTGAACTAAATTTGAATTTTCTAAATAAATTAATTATAACGTTTACAATCANGGCCACAGGATTTGACATGTCTTCATTGGCCGCCGAGATCACCAGATCTAACGCCCTGTGATTTTTTTTCTCTGGGGTTTCGTTAAGGACAAGGTGTTTGTGCCTCCACTTCCTCACGGATAACTGCGGTGTTGAACTCCATCAAAGGGGATATGCTATCACGAGTGTGGCAGGAACTTGATTACCGTGTAGACATTTGCCGTGTCTCCGGAGGGGCACATATTGAACACCTGTAGAAACTTGAATAAATGTAGTTTTGAACTAAATTTGAATTTTCTAAATAAATTAATTATAACGTTATCAATCATGTTTTCTTTTTGTTTTCTTCAATATGAAACACCCTGTATATTGAATTCCATATGAAATTTGATCGTTATATCTAGTCAAAAATCTTCGAACCTTAATATAGGGTCAGTAACAATTTCAGCATTTTAAGTGATCAGAAAATGGTTAGAACTTTGATTGACGAAAAAACCTGTTCTAGGCAATCAAGAAACGATTGAAACTTATAATGTTATCCAGAATAGAGTTTCAGTTAAAATTACAGTGCCCTTGCCCTAGCTTATCTCAAATTGGTTAAAATTTCAATTGACTGTAAATTCCATTTGGCGATAATAGTGCAGCAACTTCCAGAGCTCCAATAAAAATTTAAATGATCTAGTTAGTTTTGAGTGTCACAATTTTGATCAAATACATATTTATTTGGCGACAAAATGGCAATATTCTGTCGTTACACACCCAAAAATAGTAAATAAAAATGTTATAATAAATGTCCAAAATGTATTTCTAATACCAATATTATCATCAAAATTGTGTACTTGTAACAGATTGCATGTGTTTAATCACGTGGTTGCACATGGCATGTTAACTTTATAGAGTTTTTCCCACTGAATCAGTTTTTGGATCAGATTTAATCGGATACCTGCGAGTGACGCTTGTGTCGAAAGCGTGACGTCACTTACAATTATCCAATTGGAAGATAAATTGAGCAAGAGAATACTTTGCTAATATGTTCTAGGATCACGTATCTTATCCATTGGAGTCAAAATATAAATGGAAATCGCAAGTATAATCATGGAGCCATTTGGTTGCTCTCTTTAGATAAACTAAACAAAAATAGTGGAATCATTTTAATATCTACGCCTAAGATTGTGACAAGTTATCGTTTTCTCTCTTCCTAATTATTAATTGAAAGAGACCATCTCTTTTTGGAACAAGTTACATGGTTACTAAAGCAAGTTACATAGTAAGTAAGCATATAGGTTTAATTATTACTATACTAAGGGGTTAAGCCCCATGTTCCCTACCAATCTATTATTATATTATCTATTAGTATTATAAATATTTAGATCTTTTGGCGAACAGAAGTAATTTTTCACAGCAATAATTTTGTAAAATAACATTTATTGTTATAACATTGTATTGTTTAAACAAATTTCATGAGTTCACACATTTAAATTAATATTTTCGCTTATATAATTTAATATTTGGGTATATATTAAATACTATTTTTGTTTGCATCTCATTGTACATGAAGCTGATCGTTAAGTTCTAAATCATTTTACTGTTCTCTTTAATAGTAATTTATGACAGAATAATGTTATTTGCACAAATATAATAATTGTAAAATGGTTAATAGGATAAGACTACCTTTCTAAATAATTTTATCTTAAAATGTAGAGCAGAATTACATTATAATTTTAAAAAAACAATTCTCTTAGTTTTAAACTCTTGAATTAAAAGCGTAATAATAGCAGTACTGGAAAATAACTTTAAATTAGGGAAATACTTTTATGACTTTTAATAATTTCATGCTGATGACAACCAAAACAATATGGAAATGAGTGAGGGAAAACTGGATCCTACGACGTGATTTTCGTACCAATAAAAATGCACGGACAACAACGGAAAACAGCGACACCATCATTAGATTTGTATCCATAGTAAGAAATACAATAACTCTTATAACTATTCTGTGACAATTCATTCATTGCTAAACCATATTCTTAGTAGCGTTATTTAATTCTGTTTTTACTACACGTAAAAAAAACGGCATTATATGTGATTCATAAATTGCGCTATTTTCAAGACTTTAAAAACTAAAGGTATAAGAAAAAGCCCCATTTCATATGATGAGCAGAGACTATTAGATTTATAGGCAAAAGAGCTCGAAAATCTTCAAATCTTTGGCTGAACCTCGTGAGTTAAGAACTAGAAGTAAATTTAGCCTGTTAAAAAAACCTGACGAATGCAATCGTTATTTCTATTTTAGTATTTTTCTCTATTCATTTAAAGGACGAATATTGTTGAAATATAACCAGGACGGAGAAAAAAGAGATAAAAACGTCTATGAAATGGAGAATTTCTGTAATTGTAAAGGATGCTGTGTCGGTAACGAAGGTGAAGGATGCTGTCTCAGTAACGAAAATAAAGAATGCTGTATAAGTAACGAAAGTAAAGGATGCTGTTTAAGTAACGAAAGTAAAGGATGCTTTGTGAGTAATCAAGGGGAAGGATGCTGTGTCAGTAATGAGAATAAAGGATGCTGTGTCAGTATTGAAAGCAAAGGATATTGTTTTCCAAGTGAGCCACAAGTTTCTGCAGATGAGAATATGTACAGATGTAGAGTTTGCATTCCTAGTGAGCTAGCAAAGAATTATTGCTGCTGTAAAGGATGCTGCGTCACAAGTAAGCCAGAAAGTTTTCTTTAAAATAAATCGTTAACGCAAAATACCGTCAAACTGGGGAAAAAACTATCAACACTTTTATTTATTTTATTCCTTTATTTTTTTATTTATTTATTTATTTGTTTGCTGTAAAACTAAAACTTCTTACTTAGCTTTTTACAAAATTTGTAATCTCCAGTATTCGCATAACTTTGTTAAACGTTATTTTTATTCGATTCTGTGCATTTCTTATTGTAATATATACAATAGTTTTGAAAGAATAAATACTTTAAGTCCATTTACATTTCATAACCTTATATAACACTAATTTTAAAAAAAGTGGATCATTGTTATTTTTATAGGTAAAAGTGGATCATCGTTACTTATAATCGTCCTCCAGTATGAGTTTTAATCATAACTAGAATTATAATCTTAAATTATGAATAATAATTATGATTAATCATCTTGATTACGATAATAATCGTAAAGTATATTTCTGATAATCTTGATTACAGTTATAATTATAAAATGTATTGCAGATAATGTTGATCGCTTAGTATAATTACTTGTGTTATTGACTATAAGAAGATAAATATTTATTACCATTTACATTTTTTTAGCTCTGCATAAATGTTACACATTAACCTCCATTTAAATAATATTCTTCTCTAAATAATATTCTTTTTTTCAGCAGATAGAATTACAGCTGATGAGAGAGAGGAGGAAAGAGAATATCCCCCAGAGAAGGACAGAGTTTGCCTCTGCTGTTGCCAAGAAGAAGTAAAGAAAGTGGATGCAGTTCTATTCTATAGTTTGCCAGAACCGAAATTCGAAGGCCAATCTGTCCATAAGAGAGATTTCACATGGAAGCCAATACCCAAGAAGTAAAGGCACATTCTATTCATAAGAACAATACGACACGAGAGTTTTTGTGTCACTCATATAAGCTGTTTGGTAAAAAAACCGCCTTCTAGGGTGTTCTTTGAAGATATCACAGTAAGAAAATAAAAAAAACAACCACAGTTTAAATGTTTTAAAATAATAGAACACTTAATTCACATAGAACACTTGCTTTTCTGCATTTTGATATTTTGCGCCATTTTCATAATTAACAGTAGTTTTCATAATTAAAGCTAAGTAGAATTGTACAAAACGTGTCTTAACAGTTATGATTAACTTTTTCGATCTCTTACAACGGTTTCGATTTCACAGAAAGATTCTTTAAAATTATGGCAATTTTATAAAACATCCTTAATATCATATGTATACAGAGAATCTTTGTCACAAAGAAATCGGTACAGTTTCACATGGGGCCCCAAAACTGATTCACATTGATAAAAATGTTTGCCAAATTATGATCGTGTTTTTCTCGCCAAATACTGATTCGATCCCGAATAGAGAGATTCTAATAACTCATTCTGGCAAGAATTCCCACGACGCCAGGTTTACCAATATTACAATATTTGATAACGTCTCTTATAGTTATTACTTTAACTTATAAAAGCACGTCCTGGATCACACTAAAAATATTCCTAGTCTTTTTTTATTTGCCAAATTGCTTTGTGAGATAAAATCAGGTTCTTGTCATTGGGCAAAACCGAATGGTACAATTTACGATAAGCTTCGAGATAGGCTGAGTTAAAATCATTGGATACAGTGTTGCAAAAATTTATGATTCAAAAATGCCGTATCAAAGTAGGGGATCTCAAAGTGTTATTTGTGATTTCCATTCTTATAAACTAACGTAATTTACTAAAATTTACAAACGTATTTAAATAAATTTAAATTACTCGTATTATGTTCCTTTCAGCATCCTTTCGTATTATGTTACTTTGTGTAGAAAATTCATCGAATGCAGCTAACAAACATTTCATTTGTTGGAGAAAAAAATGTTTATATATTCACAGATACTACGCTTTTCACAAAATTATTAATTCAGCTACCAAAATATATTTTAATAAAAATATAGTCATTTTCGAAACAAAAGGGCTAATTTTTCAATCAAATAAAAATTTCAGCAATTTTACTCACTTAACTGTAATAGGAAAAAAGGAAAAACTAAGGACTTATCAATAAGAACGCTATACCACCTGAAGAAATCATTAATGACAAACTTTGTTTCCCCTCCATTGGTGTTTATTATTTAATACTTACAAGGGACACTAGGGAAGTGTGACTCGCCAATTTTGAAATAAATTAGTGGGATGTATGCCTTATGAGGAATAATTTTAGGGGGCAACATTCGTTTCGGCCCATAGAAGGTCCTGTGAGAGATAAAAAATAATTCAATATATAGAAAAATCGGTATTTTATTACTTCAATGCAGACTATTAGTTATTGTAATTGTCTCATAATCCAATTAATTTGGAATTAATTTGCTAATTAATAAATTAATCAAAAAATTAATTAATTATTAATTAATTGTTAATTAATTATTAATTAATTAATTGATTTGCAATTACATACTCCAATTAATTTGGAAAGTTTTTTGGAAAAAAAAGTTAAAAAATTTGATGTAAATTTTTTTTTTTAAATTAACCTAACAGGTTTTTCTGAAAAACTACAGATATATAAAATTTTCGAAATCAATTTTGACAATAAATATGCATTATATAGTACGTGAATGTACCAAAAAATTAATTGGAGTATGAGACAATTACAATAACTAATAGTCTGCATTGAAGTAATAAAATACCGATTTTTCTATCTATTGAATTATTTTTTATCTCTCACAGGACATTCTATGGGCCGAAACGAATGTTGCCCCCTAAAATTATTCCTCATAAGGCATACATCCCACTAATTTATTTCAAAATTGGCGAGTCACACTTCCCTAGTTTCCCTTGTTAGAGGAAAGTGAGTTCAATTAAACCAGGCGTAAGCGATAAAGTTTAAAACGCTGAAAAAATGTTTTCCAATCTATCAAAATCCAAACAAAGAATTAAAAGATTGCGCAATAAGGTAGGTAGCAAACTATTTGCAACTATCCATGCGACTATTTATTTGCATTTCGATGTGTTAAAAACCTTTTTTCAACAGTAGAAACTTTATGGCTCATAGTTGGTTGAATTTATCGCACTTTTCCTTAACCTTCCAAAACAAACCGATTCTTGTTGTGATGCTATTATAATAATCAAAGTCTACTTCAGAAAGTTATAAATTTATTATAGTTGTGCGGAGAGTCACATCAACCATGTCAACCTTCATCTATGAAAATGTACCCCAACATAGAATCGAGTTAACATGTCTTATATAGTAGTGAATTGAAAATGTATTTTTGTAGAGGTAAACACACTACAGTACTCTCCCACCAGAACTATATCTGGGATAGAATTCGATGAACGAATACCACTAGTTGATTCATTGCTGTTCTGTGAGAAGCCGGGAGAGCTGCATTAAGATCACCGTACTTTTGAGTGCGGATTGTGAGAGCTGTATTAAGTTCACGTTCGTTGTCGCTCCTGTGTTGGCGTTAGCAGTCGTGTGTATACGTTGTGTGCGATCGAAATTGAGTAGCAACAGTGAGAGGAGGTGGATAATGTCGAAGTCACAAGTAGCAAGTCAACTGTTCAATGCGGATCATCCATCGAAGTTGGCGTGTTCAAATAGAAGTGGGAGTTTCTGTCAAGGTAAGCGTGTTCACATCACTTCCGAAGGTTACCAATGTGGGGAGAGTAGTTATCGACCATGTCAACTTTCATTTATGAAAAGGTAGCCCAAACTAGAATCGAGTTAACATGTCTTATATACTAGTAAATTGGTATTGTATTTTTGTAGTAATATACACACTACATAGTTTAGAAATTTCATATATTTTTTTTAAAAATATTTGTGCCTAATGTATCTTTTAAAGTATTGATAAATGGATTCCTGTTATTAGGGAACTTCCCCCGTGGCATCCTCTACTGAGTGACAGGTGGAAAAGTTTGCAAGTGCCCAGTATAAAGAAGTCTACTTACCAAAATGATTTCTACCCTCCACCACCCTGTGTAAGCAAGACCAAGGAACCTGAGTACTCTGTTCCAGAAGAAGAAATAAGTTCCAAGTAAGATAATAATAAAAGAAATACTATTGGATATACTTAACCCTGATGGGCACGCAGGGATTTTTTTGACGCAGATGGGACGGTCCCTTATGTAATTTTTTCTGACAATTTAATTAGAGGAAAAAATATATTTTGGTATTATTTAATTATAAAAAACAGTTTAAGAGTAACTGAAAAAATGTTAGATTACCGGAATTATATTTGTACTGAAATAGAAAATAGAAAAAAAAGTAGTTTGAATTTTTTTTAAATTCATATTCAAAAACTTAATAGAAATTGATTTTGTAAATTAAAGAAATTTCAAGGATGCTTAACTGTCTTTATTACTTAAATAACTGCTATTAAGTGCACATTTAAAAAAAAAATTATTGTTTGGAAGTTAGCCGTGTTTAGAAGAATTTACCTTTAACACAGAAACAATATCTTTCTCTCTTATTGTCACCTTAACTAATACAAAATAATTATAAAAGTATTAAAAAAAATATGTTGGATAAAAATTCTCTGTCAAAGGGATAAATACTGGAATATTTTCAGTTTCTGTCGATGCATTTGTGTCTGCATTAAAGTAGTATGAGTACAATTAGTACTTTTGAATTATCTAATAATCGGAAACAAATAAGAAATTGAGATTGCCAAAATGAGACCTTTCATCAACAGTTATCTAATGCATTCATTTTTACTCACGATGGCTAATTTGTCATAATAGCACGCAATTTATTACATTCTAAATGTTTATTATGAATTGTGTAATATTTAAGTTTAAAATTTGAACATATTTGGTAACTTTCCCCTTTATTCTGTAGATCAAAGTAAAATACATAACATTAGGAAAAATTGCATCGGAAAAAACAGAAAGGAAGTCACTCATTATGCTTAAAAAATTCTTAAAATTCGCTCTGATAATGTAAGCATACTAAAAAAGAATAAAATAAATAAGAATCCGGAAGTAAATACAAAAACAAAAATCACAAAAGAAACAGCCACTGAAAAACATTATATCAAGCTCAAATCATTTGCAATTTTTATTTTTTCCTTATGTCTTTACGTCTTTTTTTCCGTATTACCCTTTATTTTAACACATGCATTCATTTATATAAGTGCCAAACGAAGTGCCATAATGTTTGGAAACTATCCCTATGATGGCTCTTCTAATTATTTTCCCTCTCTATTTTTAGACCTGCGTGTGATTGTTTTATTGAGGTCCCACAAGTGTGCTGCTGCCCAAAACAACCACAGTTAACAACAGATTGCAAGTTGAAAGGATATGACCTGGTAGGTACTGTCACATGCTGTCCAGGAAATTGCCCCGGGACAGATTCAACCAATTGCAAATGCCAACCTCTCTCTTCAAATCTACAATAACCGCTTTGCAATCAGATTTGATTAAAAAAATCATTCTGAATTCAAAATCATATACTAGATTGATTTATCTGAATAAAATTAGCCATGTCATAAAAATTAAATAGTTTTGATTTGTTATCGTTGATTTGTTATAGTTTTGATTTGTACCTTTCGCACTGAAAATACGTGCCATGTACGTTATGATAATTTTGCTGTAAAATCTCCACTGAAGTTTTGTACACTCCGACAGACAATTATCACAAAAATAAAAAAAACATTTGGGGTTCATGTCACAGAAATAAAAATTGTTCGGATTTCACTTATCGAACACTGAGCACCTCGAAGTGAGTCACCGTTACCTTTTTTTTGTAAGCATATCTATGAATTTCTTGTCCATACACACACGTGGTAAATTTTATGAATACAGCGCTCAACATTGCTAAAGCCTTACCGGTAGTCAAGTACGTCTTCGTAATATCAAACGACGAAAAACCGACCTCAAACAAAATGATCAAATAAATTTTAAATGATCACTGTATGCAAAAAGGGCAGTGGATACTTGAACATTGTGGAATCCATGACAATGAGATGGCTAAAAAGAGTGCCTGCAAACATGTCCCTCCAGTATATCTTACAGTACATCTTTTTTGCAAAAATAACTCTTTAGACAATTTAAATTATCTGTCTCAAAATGACCAGGACATAAAATGGTGGACATGTTTTGCGTCGCCAGTGGCCATGACTGTCTCCCGAAACACCACCATTTCCGCATAGTTACAAGTCTTATCTGTTGTCTCTGTAATCTGAGACAAGTCATAGATGACCATCTCATTCTTTCTTGAGTAACCAAACGTTATCTTGTGGACAGCTACTGGGAGGCCTTTTCGATTTATAGACTATCGCTACAACTGTTTCTCTTGTTTTCTATGCTTTTTTTTTCTCTCAAGTTTGTTATCTAAATGGTTCTTTGCATTTATTGCCGTAGTTATCTTTCAGTCTTGCCCAAAGAAATTTTTAAAAAAAATTATAATGCACTAGGCATTAATTGAAAAACATTTGATCGACATTTTTTTTAAATAGTTTGACGACTTCCATCCAGCAGTGAATTAATAATCATTGAAGATGATGATAGATTCATCATATACTCTGGCAGTTGAATATATGTAACTTTATGTTGAATGCATGTTGATGTTGGCATTTGAATGTATGCAACTAAAATAAGAATCCACTTTTTATTGCTGTTATGGATTTTCCAAAAAAAATATTTCACTTTGTCTAGTAGGTCCTTGTACTTTAGTTTACTAATGATGATATTATAGCAAAAGTGAAAATGGATTAAAATTGTTTAAATTCGAGACATCTCGAGAAATACATTTCAGATCGAAAAACTAGAAATAGTTATAGTATTTGATGTTTTGTAGAAACCTAACTAACAACCCAAAACTCAACACCACCACATTGAACTTTGCCGTATTAAGGAATAGTCGAGGTCGATTAGTTCGGTTTTTCAAAATATCAAAAACGGATATTTTTATATTTCAATCTGTATATTTGATCTGGGTGTATGTATGTTTCGATGCATATTTTTTGAGGTATTAAAGAGTTTCCACATTTTAGTAGATCACGTATCAAATTTTTTTAGTTATTAAATTTTTGCTAATTGTTTTTTTAATCACAAGCCAACGAAATTAAGATCTCTGTATGTGAAATAACAAGTTGGACGTTTCTAGACTTGTCAAGTTCAACGAGAATAACATCCCTACCCTCTTTTCCAAACAATAACAATTCAATATTTTGCAGACGAAATAATTAATACTCCTCCCCCCCTCCCGATTTCAAGTAGGAGAAATTAAACACCCAAAGAAAAATTATGCTAAAGAACTACAAAAGTTGGATTTTTTTTCTTTTTAAAGAAATAAAGTGAAGAGGAATTGTTCTTCACCCTGGGTGAAATCCGAAAAGAAGTGAGAAAGGGTCAAAAAACGACACGTCCAGGCGTGTTGAGAAATGATTATGGTAATAAATTTAATGAACACTAATTGCTCTCCCTCTCTCTATGTCCTCTATAGCAACCTCATTGATCGAGAAGTGAGGTAGGGGGGGTGCTTTGCAGCAGCAATAAATACTAATTAATCTTCCGTCCGGCCGGATAGAATAATAATATTTCCCCGCTAATTGACTGGAAAGTTGAAATTTATTTTCGCTCCGATTCCAATAATTGATAGAGAAGGGGGGGTGCACATATATTGTTTATGCTGAAGTTTTTTTTGTACACCCCCCCCCCTCTCTACTAGAGAGTGGCGCAAAAGGTGGTATTTCCAAAATTTCAATCATTGCGACAAATGGGCGGAAAATTAGATTCCTATACGACAAGATTAAGAAAATGAAGTGATTTTTTTTTCTTGGAAAATCTTTTTAAAGCGTTTGGTAAAATGAATTCCTTTTCAATAAAGATTTTAAAAAATGTGCGTGATGTGTTTTAAGATATTAAGAGAAGATTTTTAAGAATTTTTCGGCCTTATTGTATTGAACTGGGAATTATTAGCGGGTGTTTGAATAATTGGAATTTTATGTAAATAGGTAAGGGTTAAAGAGGAAGAAGTGTAAAAACATTTTCATTCGATTATAATAATTTAACTGTATTTATTTTATTTTATTACTTATGTTAAAGAGATGATCTGTATCTGATTTAGGCTGTTCATGTGAAATTAATTTTATTTAATAACCTGCGCTGAACAGCTGATCCATATCAAATTCGAAACATCAATCCTCAATTCCGTAGCCTTGTCGTTTTGAACCCAACCCAAAAGACAAGCGCAATCCTGGTCTGGACAAACTGGCTTTTCACGGTGGAATTTATGCCTGAAACTACCTAGACAAGGCGTTACTATAAAAATTTCCCATGTTATCCAGCGGCAAGAGAAGTTTAACCCACGATTCGCCTATTTCTGGAAATACTTTTTTTTGGCACAGGGATCAGTGAGAAGACGTGTCAATTCACTGAGTACACGATTCATCAACCACGACCGGAATTTAAACCGAGGTCACCTCACAAGAAAGCGAGGGCTCTTGTCCCCTTAACTACAATTACAATTGTTGAAGTTCATCGCTAAAATTGCATTGATATTTTCTATTTTTATTGTTCAAAATAAGGCCATAAAATCTTGGTTGGTAGGGCGTTGGGCCTATGTCCAAGAGGTCATGAGTTCGATTCCCCCCGGTTGAAAACTCCACTTGTAGTAAATGGTGATTGGCGCACGTTAAATCTGTAGGATCACAAAATCCTCTATGTTCCCGTAACAAATTAAACCTCTGGGGGAACTGAATTAGAAATCTGCGGTTCAGGTCAAAATAGCAATCTGTGGATGAATGAATGGATGTATGAGTGGGCCCGCCCTATAAACGGGCTGCGACGAGTGTGAGGTTGAAGTTCGTATTCTTGGCCATATAACAATCACCGAGAAAAAAAACGCACCCTCTGCCTAAAATTCGCTTGGTGTCACCAAGCAGTCTTGCTGATATTGGTGAGTGACATTAGAAACAACAGTGCTCAAAATCGAACACATATTCCAAAACATACAGGGCAATGACCAGCCATTGAAAATGTTTACAATCCTTGAAAAAATAAAAACGCAAGCGAAGCACGTATGAAATTTTAACTGTATACTCTAAATTTTAATTATTTCCAAGAAAATTCGGATTTATATATTTGAGAAAAGTCTTTTGCAAACTTTGAGCAATTCTTTTTTAGAACATTTTTCTAGACCTTCGGCAAAAGCCTAGTTCTATACCAAAATCACTTTATTTGTCTAGCAAGCTTAGAACATCGCCTCTCGTTTTCACAACGTGATTAAATTAGTTATAAATTATTTTTATCCCTTCATTGTTTTAATTGATCTCAATAATGATCGGTTTTAAATAAATAGTTTTCTTTTATGAATAATTTGTATAGGTTTTATATGAATAGTTTTTTTACTTCATTTGTCCTTATGATTCTAACAACATATCCTTGCAGACTATTACACCCCTTTCCCTTAAAATGAATTATCAAATAATAGGACGATTAACAAGTGATGATTTTAGGGGCTGATAAAATAATGCTTTCAGTCCAAGAGAAAAGATTATACATACTATTATAACTTCAACTTTGTCAGCACAGTTACGCATTTTAACATCTAAATAAAATATTGTTAACGCTTTAGCTGTGTACATCAGACAGTATATACCAGTGTTTCCCAACGTGGGGCCCCCGCCCCACTGGGGGGCAATTTGGTTGTTAAGGGGGGCAATTCGAAAATGGACTCGACACGAGTTTAACCCTTTTGCTCCTGGCCATTTAAATGCAATGCTAGATTTCGGTGCCAAAATTGAAAGAAAAAATCAAATTCTTAAATAATTGTAGCCAATAAATTTTATAAATTCTTTTGACGAGACCAGAATATCAAATGGGGTTTTGGCATCTCAAGTTAACCTCCCTGCAGCAGACTCCACGTGGACTTTTAGACTTTAAAGAAAAATTTTGAAAAGAGGACAACAGTAAAGTCTCTATTTACTGCTCACACTTCAACTCATAATCGTATTCTTGAGGCTAGTTATCAAATTTTTTTATTCATCGCTAAATCTGGAAAAAATCATACTACAGGAGAGAATTTAAAAAAAAACCCGTCAATATCAGCATCTCTTAAAACGGTTCTTGAAAAAAATGACAAAGCTGTAAAAGCTATGCCACTCAGTAACAATACTGTTAGCAGAAGAATAGACGAAATGAGTGAAGATATTGAAAAACAACGTGTTGAAAAGATGAAAACAAGAAAATTCTCAGTGCAAATGGCTGAATCAACTTTGATATACAGTGTGGCAGTATTGATTACGTACGTAAGATATATTGGTAAAGGGCATTTTGCTAAATAAATGTTATTCTGTAAAAGATTAGAAAGCACCACTACCTCCTACGATATATATAATAAGCTAAAAAAGTTCATAGATGTCAATAATATACCAATAAATACATAACATCTTGTGCTGCAGATGGTGCTCCTAAGAAAAATGCCTGCTTAAAATTGATG